AAATTGGTCTGTAGTTTTTCTCTGTTTTTTGCTCTTTCTGGGATAGGCATCAGTGCTATATTTGTGTCGTAAAAGGAATTTGGTAGGACTCATTTGCCTGTTTTTCTAAATAGTTTATGTAGTATTGGAATTAATTGTTCTTTAAATGTTTGGTAGAATTCACTTGTGAATCCATTTGGTCCTGGAGAGTCTTAGGGATCTAACTGTTGGCTTGTTCAATTTCTTTTTCTAAGATAGGGTTATTTAAGTATTCCATTTCCTCTTCTGTTAATCTGGGAAATTTATATTTTTGTAAATATTCATCCATTTCACTTAGATTGTCAGACTTATTAGCCTGCAGTTGGGCAAAGTAATTCTTAATAATTTCTTTAATTTCATCTTTGGTGGTAAATTCACCTCTTTCATTTTTGATACTGCTAATTTGGTTTTCTTCTTTCTTTGCTTTTTTTTTTTTTTCAAATCAAATCAAATCAAATCTGGTGTTTTTTTCCCCATAAAACCAGCTCCTAGTTTTATTAGTTCAATGGTTTTCTTATTTTCAATTTTATTAATCTCTCCTTTAATTTTTCAGGATTTCCACTTCATTGCTTAATTGGATATTTTAAATTTTTTTTAGTTTTTTTTTAGTTGCATGTCCACTTTATTAATCTGCTCTTTCTCAATTTTATTGATCTAAACATTTAGAGATGTAAAATTTCTACATAGTACTGCTTTGATTGCATCCTATAAATTTTGGTATGTTGTCTCATTGTTGTTTGTCACTCTGTTTAATGAAATTATTGATTGTTTCTATGATTTGTTCTTTGACCCCTTCTCTCAATGCAGCCCTCTTTCTCATCCCTTTATTTACTTATTTTTGGATATCATCCCATTATAGTCAACTCACACCCATGCCCTGTGTCTGTTATACTCCCTCTAACTGCCCTAATAATGAGAAAGTTCATAGGAGTTAGAAGTATCTTCTTTCCATGTAGCAATGTAAACAGTTTAACCTTATCAAATCTTTTATGATTTCTCTTTCCTGTTTACCTTTTTATGCTTCTCTTAAGTCTTTATTTGAAATTCATATTTTCTATTCAGCTCTGGTCTTTTCATCAAGAATGCTTGAAAGGATTCTATTTCATTAACTGTCCATTTTCCCCTCCTGAAATATTATGCTCAGTTTTGTTGTGTACGTGATTTTTGGTTGTAATCCTAGTTCCTTTGCCCTCTGAAATATCATATTTCAAGCCCTCCGATCCTTTAACGTAGAAGCTGCTAAATTTTGTGTTATACTGATTTTAGTTTAACAATATTTGAATTATTTCTTTGTGGCTGCTTGCAATATTTTCTCCTTGACCTGGAAGCTCTGGAATTTGGCTATAATATTCCTGGGACTTTTCATTTTATGATCTTTCTCAATAGGTGATCAGTGGATTCTTTTAATTTCTGTTTTACCCCCTGTTTTTAGGATATCAGGGCAGTTTTCCTTGGTAATTTCTTGAAAGATGATCTTTAGACTTTTTTTTTTGATCATGGCTTTCAGGTACTCTAATAATTCTTAAATTATCTCTCCTCAATCTTTTTTCCAGTCTTTTTCAATCTTTTTTTAAATGAGGTAGTTTATATTTTCTTCTATTTTTTAATTCTTTTGATTTTGTTATATTATTTCTTGATGTCTCATGGAGTCATTAGCTTCTACTTGCCCAATTCTAATTTTTTAAGGAATTCTTTTCTTCAGTGAGCTTTTGCACCTCCCCTTTTGTTTGGCCAATTCTACTTTTTTTTTTTTTAATTTTTTTTCAACATTCATTTCCATAAGCTTTTGAGTTTTAAATTATCTTCCCTTCCCTTTTTCCCTCCCTCCCCAAGATGGCGTGCAATCTGATATAGGCTCTACATATACATTCCTGTTAAACATATTTTCACATTAGTCATGTTGTGTAAAGAAGAGTTCTAACCAAATAGAGAAACCACAAGAAAGAAGAAACAAATGAAACAAGAAAAAAAAGAGCAAATAGTATGTTTTGATCTGCATTCAAACTCCCTAGTTCTTTCTTTGGATATGGATAGCATTTTCCATCATGAGACCTTTGAAGATGTCTTAGATCCTTGCATTGCTGAGAAGGGCTAATATCAGCGTTAGTCATTGCAGAACGTGGCTGTTACTGTGTACAACGTTCTCCTCGTTCTGCTTGCTTCACTCAGCATCAGTCCACACAAGTCTTTCCAGGTTTTTCTGAAGTCTGCTTGCTAATCATTTCTTACAGCACAATAGTATTCCATTACATTCATATACCACAACTTGTTCAGCCATTCCCCAATTGATGGGCATCTTCTCAATTTCTAATTCTTTGCCACCACAGAAAGATCTGCTATAAATATTTTTTACATGTGGGTCCTTTTCCCATTTTTATGATCTCTTTGGGATACAGCCCTAGAAGTGCTATTACTGAGTCAAAGGGTATGCACATTTTTATAGACCTTTGGGCATAGTTCCAAATTGCTCTCCAGAATGGTTGAATCAGTTCACAACTCCAACAATGCATTAATGTTCTAATTTTCCCGCATCGTCTCCAACATTTATCATTTTCCAGTTTTGTCATGTTAGCCAATCTGATAGGTGTGATGTGGTACCACAGAGCTGTTTTGATTTGCATTTCTCTTATCAATAGTGATTTAGAGCATTTTTTCCACATGACTATAGGTAGCTTTAATTTCTTCATCTGAAAACTGCTTGTTCATGTCCTTTGATCATTTATCAATTGGGGAATGACTTGTATTCTTATAAATTTGACTCAGTTCTCTATATATTTTAGAAATGAGGCCCTTATCAGGGTTGTAAAAATTCTTTCCCAGTTTTCTGCTTCCCTCCTGATCTTGGTTGCATTGCCTTTGTTTGTGCAAAAACTTTCCAATTTAATATAATCAAAATTATCCATTTTGCATTTCATAATGTTCTCTGTCTCTTGTGTGGTAATAAATTCTTCTGTTCTCTATAAATCCGACAGGTAAACTATTCCTTGCTCTCCCAGTTTGCTTATAGTATCAGTCTTTATATCTAAATTGTGTATCCATTTTGACTTTATTTTGGCATATGGTGTAAGATGTTGGTCTTTGCCCAGTTTCTGCCATACTCTTTTCCAGTTTTCCCAGCAATTTTTGTCAGATAGTGAGTTCTTATCCCAGAAGCTGGGATCTTTGGGTTTATCAAACTTTACCAAGCTCTTTTTTCATGATTGTCTTGCATTACTCTTATTTCTTTTCCCAATTTTTACCCTTGCCTTGCTTGTTTGATTTTTAAAATCCTTTTTGAACTCTTCCAGTAATTCTTTGTAGGCCTGAGACCAATTTACATTTTTTCTTTGAAGCTTTGTATGTAGTTGCTTTGACATTGTTGTGTTCTTCTGAGTTTGTGTTTTGATCTTCTCTGTTGCCATAGTAACCTCCTATGGTCAGGTTCTTTTTTTGTTGTTATTGTGTGCTCATTTTTCCAGCTTATTTCTTGACTTGTAATTTTACATTAAATTTGGGCTCTACTCATGTAGGGGGAGAAGACTATCCCAAACTACAGCTTTTTCATGCTGCTCTTTTCAGAGTTAGTTCTGGGGGTTAATGAGTTCTCAGTTCTTCCAAGGTGGTAGGATCTAAGGAGTAGTGTAGTCACTGTTCTCCTGGCCTGTCCACTGGTCTGTGAGTGACCACGGACGCTTTTACTCCCTGAAACTGTGAACAGGGTCCCTGTTCCTGCTAGTGCTCCTCCTCACCCAGAGACTGCAACCCAGAACTACATATGGGCAGTGCAACAGAGCCTTGCACCCAGTGCCAGCAAATGGACCTTTGTAATCTTCTGACCAATTGTCTGAACCTCTTACTATCTGTGAGCTGAGAGCTCCCCCAGTGCAGTCGCCCCTAAGGCCTGCTGCTGGCTTGCTGGGGCATGGCCTGCACTGGACTGCACTCCACTCTCACCCCAGTGAGACAAACCTTTCCTTCCAACCTTATAAGTTGTCTTGGACAGGAAAATTGTTTTACCCCATCCTTTTGTTGCATATAACTGCTCCAGTATTTATTTTGAGGCGTTATTTTAAAAGTATTTGTAGGGAAATTTGGGAAAGCTCCTTTACTCCACCATCTTGGTGCTCCCTCCTCAACAAACATTTTTTTAAGTACCTACAATGTATAAACACTATGCTGGGCGCTCATGATACAAAGACAAAAACAATATAGTCCCTGCCTTCAAGAAGCTTTCTTTGTGCCTGGAGGATACAGTATGTACCAGCACATAAATAAAATTTTTTTAAAAATTATAGAAAGTAATTTTAAGGAGAAAAGAAGTCTTAACAGCTGGAAGCAGAGGTGTGGGTGTAAGTATGAAGGCATGTCAGGAAAGACCTCACAGGAGTTATGGCAATTTACCTATGTTCCGAAAAAAATTGGATTCTGTGAGGCTGAGAGGTAAGCAGTCAGGAGTGGCTGCTTGTATAAAGGCACAACGGAAAGAGATTTGTGTGGACAGGGAACAGTTGGCAGTCTGGTTTGACTGAAACAGAGTCATTACATTAAGGGGGAGTGTGTGACGTACAGGGGACAGTGCTCTGTAGGATGTCCCAAAAGTGTTAATGCAATTTTATACTGTAACATATTTTTACCACCATTTTCCCTTTATAATTTTTTTAAAAAGAAACTTTTATCATTTGCTACTCACAAAGATCTTTAGTTTCATTCTTCATGAAGCTTTAATAGCTTAAAACAGCACTAAGAGTTTTGGGCCACCCCCCTGTATTGTTGACTCCTTTACGACTCCCAGTAATTGGAGAAGCAGAGCCCCCTACAGTTGACCCTGAGCATTTTTGGTAGCTCCAGAATTCTTCTCTTCAGGGAGGTCCATGATTAAGCCATGTGTGGAATATAAGTATATAGGTAGACTATGTAACACACTATAACCTTTTTTAGGGTTGACTTCTCTTTCCACATTATGGTTTCTTGCTTAGTATAGTCTTTCTAATTCTTTTCCATAGGCACAGTGAGAAGATTCCTAGAAATTCATGGGGAGACCATTGAAAAAGTAGTATTTGCTGTCTCTGAGCTTGAAGAGGTATTTTTCTAATTGTATCATATGGTCAGAATTCTTAAGAAATAAACAGTTGTCTTGTGATCGTGTTTGTCTTATTGAAGTGAATTTGGAGTGCTGATAAAGATGCATCCTGAATGTCTTAATATTTAACACTTACTTTTGCCCACCAGATAGGACTACAAAACACCTATTGAAATTCTGACTGGGTAACATTTTGACATTTTAGCTTAATGCTTTTAGAAAATGCATCAGTTCACTTTGAGTTTGAACTGGTTTACTACTTTTTTTATTTAATTATAGTTTCATTCAAAATCAAATTAAAAAAATTAGTATTTGATTTTGGATCACTTTAAAGTTCAGCAGATTAGCATAGCTAATTATCACTTTTACTTAATGATCAGTTTGTTTCAGGTCCTTGCTATAGAATTTATAGATACAAATAGAAATACATATTCATACATAATACACATGCACACAATATGTACGTATGTTAATATGCGGACTCATGAATATGCTGGTGTATGTTAGTCTCCCCCACTACCTTCCACCTTAATTGACTAGACATAATAGACATAATATGAAAGCATTGCCCACATCTGCTTTGAAGAAGTTACTTATTTTCACAAACTACTTTCCTCCCTGTTCACAGGCAACCTACAGAAAGCTACTGCCTTTATATTTTCCAAGGTCATTAAGGGAAGAAAGCCAGTCTCTACCCTACCTTCCTGCAGATATTGGAAATGCCGAAGGGGAGCCAGTAGTACCAGAGCGACAGATCAGGATTAGTGAAAAACCAGGTGCTCTGGATGGTGAGTTGAACACTTAGCTCTACCTTGGGAACGTCTGTTATCTATGAATCAATGAAGAGCTAGAATTGAATCAGAAAGGCTTCTTTCACCTCTGAGAGGCTAACTTATAGTGTTACCCAACAGAAAATTCATACTTCTTGGTTATATCTGTCTTTGTGACTTAGACCTGTGTCATGATCCTGTCTTCTTGAACAGATTGCATGATTATTGTCATCTGGATGCTATATTAAACAGGATTACCATATGCCTCATAGTTGAAGTGCTATATTAAGGAGCAAATTGCCAATTTTACATTCTTCCTTTTTAGATTAAAATTCTCAGCACAAAGTAACTTTGGCTCCACAATTGGGTCAGAACTTTAAAAATGTATTTTATCATGCAGGTATACTGGTTTAAAAAAGTCCTTTACTTTTAGCCTTTTTTCTGTCCCGATCATTTTATCAATACAAATATTGCTGTTACAGACAACCTAGAAGAAGATGAGGGCTTGGGAGCTGATCTCTCCTTCATTGGATCTCATGCTTTTGCTCGAATGGAGGGAGATGTTGATAAACAGAGACGACTGATTCTTCAGGGACAGCTCTCAGAGGCAGCTCTGCAGAAACAGCATCAAAGAAAGTAAGACTAATGCACCCTATGTGAATTGGGGGGGAAATCCCAAAGATATATACACATATTGCTTATTCTTGTTTAGATTTGCTGTTAGTGAGAAAGAAAATAGGGAGTGAATACTGTCAGACACTGCAGAGAGGTCAGGAATTTTGGTAACCTCAAAGAGCTTAGTTTCATTTGAGTGGTGGGGAAGAAAGCCAAATTGTAAGAGGTTGGGAAGTGAGTTAGGATGAGAAGGAAGCCCAAATATTAGTTATCTTCTCTTCTGACAGAACCTGTGAATCTTCTTCATCCAATGTAGAGCATGCGAAATTACTTTCTCCACACAATAGAAAAATACTTTTCCTGATCTTTGTTAAATGCGTTATTCCTGACCAACAGTCCGTGATTCCTATCTTTTAGTTTTTGGCCCAGCAACTTGAATACTATTCTCTGACACCAACTTCTTAACTAGCTACTAATTTTGATACCTGACTTTCTCTTCTGAAGCCCCTACCCGCAGTCAGCAGCAGGGCTAATGCTAAAGGCATGCCATGACCTTTAGGCTTTATTTTCTGCTCAAAGCTTCATAATCCACAAAAAATGTTTTCTAAATTCCTTTTGGCAGGACACTTTATCACTTCAGTGAGTCACCAGAAATGGGGCGTGAGATTATATTTGACAAATTTCTGGAAGCTCTGTCACATCCCCTTTAAACACTCTGGGAAGACAGTGTGTATGTTATCAGGGCAACATATGGCTTTTGTGCTATCTCTCGGTAGGAAACACCAACGATCATGTATCTTCTTCCTGTGCCCTATACTGTGTGTCTTCTCTCGTTGTTGAACCTGTTCGTCCTCCTTACCATCCCAGAACACCGTGAGAAATTATTTCTTCCTCAAAGGGTCCAAGTCTACCCTTTTATAACCTTCAAACATCCAGTGGTCTTTTCTCTTTCTTTTGTTGTGTTTTTCTGCCCTATAGACTGCTGAAATTGGTCTGGATCCTTTTCTTTCTTTTCACATTCTTTTCCCTTATTGTTTTCTTATTTAAGCCTTCTTCTATTCTTTCATTTTCCCTGATCCCCAGTAAGCTGAAAAGTAGAGGAGTGTTCCTTCATTTCTTTCTCACAAGTGGATCTTACCTTGAGCATTGCGTAGTGGAAAGAGCTCTAAACTTTACCCAGGAGACTTGAGGATTTGAGTCGAACCATTTTATTCATATATATATATATATATATATTTATGTGACAAATCAACCTCAGCTTCCTTATTTGTAAAATGATTATAATCCTTGTGATACTTCACAGGTTTTTCAAGTAAAAGGCTTTGCGAACATTGAAGTGTTATATAAATGTGAGTTGTTATTATCCCAAAAGAGTTACCAAAAACACATCTACACTTACTAACCTACACTTTTATTCAGTCTTTAAGAGGAATTGTTTACTTGATGAATAATAGTATTAATATAGTGCTTTAATGTTTGAAAAGATAAAATAGGAAAAGGAAGGCATTCACAAATAATTTTTTACAGCAAATCAAATCTTCAATATGGATCTCTGTAAAGAATATAAGATCCCATTGTTCTGTGGTTGATTACAGGAAATTATACAACTGGAGAAAACATTATGCAACCTTAAAAGCCATTCTCAAACAACATGCCTTCTGTGCATATATGATCATACAAGATTACATTGTGCATTGTAAGAGATGCAGTCATGGAAATGACTTTGTTATCAAATAAGGCATCCAACAGAGAGACACATTCACTAATGACATGCAGCAGCATCATGGAAACCATCTTATACAAAAACAAAATGAAAGAGAGGTTCTAACTTTCTCCTTCTCTTTTTGAAGTATGTTATTTGGGCCTTAGAGCCAGTCTTTGCTTTAAATGTCCAACATAGAGGAGATGAAAAGGGATCTGTCGCCCTTCACTCCTGGCACCACTGGTGACTGCACACATGGGTGAGAGAATGTGTGCTTGCCTAGATGAGCCTGAGACTGAACCTCGAGTCCCTGACTGACTGCCTCTTCTGCTTTTCTTTCCCTGATCCCAGGTGGTGGTAGTAATAATAATAATAATAGTAATAATAATAAGTAACACATATAGCATCTACTGTGTTGCCAGGCAGTATGTTAAGCACTTTATAAATATCTCATTTGATCCTCCCAACAACCCTGGGAGATGGGTGCTTTTGTGATCCCCATTTTACAGTTGAAAAAACTGAGTTGGACAGAGGTTAAGCAACTTGCCCAGAGTCACACAGCTAGTAAGTGTCTGATACCAGATCTGAGCTCAGTCCTTCCTGCCCTCCAGGCCCAGCACTCTATCCACTGCATCTTGGCAACTCTCTTGTGACCCGGAGAGTTCAAGGGCGTCTAGGTCAGGGAGCTTGTTGTCTAACAGGAGGTGGCTTTTCACAATGACTTCTTGGAGAAGAAAGGTGACCACACCAGGAAGATACCATAGACAGACAAAAGGACTTAGAAGGCCCCCATCAGACCCTGCTTACCGGAAGAGCTGGGCTTGTGAGTTGTGAACAAAGTCCGTGTTGGAAGTGAAAGTCAATCAGCACTTAGTATGTGCTGTTTTTGATGCTGAGTCCCATCAGTCTCAGGAATTTTTGCTTTCCCGGGTTAAGATAATAGAGGCAGTCCTTATTGTTTCATGTTTTAAGTAGTTGTCTAAGTCTTTTGAGTGACAGAGGAAGTAAATGACTGCCTTCTCTCTGGAGGGAAGGAGCGACCTACGTTGAGTGAAGGGGAGCACTGCCTTGACCATGACATCTTGATGATTGCATCAAACCAGGTTCTTCTCAGTTACCTCCACAGTTACTGAAGAAATGAGCCTGGTTACCCAGAAAAAATAAAGTGGATAAAAAATAAATATGGCCTAGATCATGACATGCTGTTAGATTAAAGGTGATCGTAGAGTATCAGCACCTACGTCGTTTTTTAAAAAATTATTTATTTTTAGTTTTCAGCATTCACTTTTATAAGATTGTGAGTTTTAAGTTTTCTCCCCCTCCTTCCCTTCCCCCCTCCCTAAGACAGCATGCAATCTGATATAGGCCATACATATACAATCATATTAAACATATTTCCACATTAGTCATGTTGTAAAGGAAAATTAGAACCAAAGAGAAAAACCACAAGAAAGAAAAAAACAACAAAAAGAGAGCAAATAGTATGCTTTGATCTGCATTCAGACTCCATAGTTCTTTCTCTGGATGTGGATAGCATTTTCTATCACGAGTCTTTTGAAATTGTCTTAAATCATTGCATTGCTGAGAAGAGCTAGGTCTATCAAAATTGGTCATCACACAGTATGGCTGTTACTATGTACAGTGTTCTCTTGGTTCTGCTCACTTCAATCAGCATCAGTTCATGCAAGTCTTTCCAGGTTTTTCTGAAGTCCACCTGCTCATCATTTCTTATGGAACAATAGTATTCCATTACATCAACACCTACATCTTGGACAGCTAAGTGGAGATTGAACTCAATGTGGGCCCAGAATTGAATAGTAGAATCCCACTAAGGCAGTAGCAAAGGATATTAATGATCCTAAAGTTCTTGTTACCCCAAAAGCTAATACTTCTGGCTACACTGTTCTCCTGATAATATTCTATTACAACAAATTATGGACCACCAAAATCTCAATGAAGTTTCAATTGCAAGTGTCCCAAAAACTGATAGAGACATCCCGAGTATAAGCAGCATATAGAATTTTACCACTGTTGACTTACTACCAAGAAGTGACAAGGATGTAATCAAGTATGTGTGTGACTAGTAAAGCAGGTGGCCTTGAGTGTCCACGAAATATCAGAAGAATCAGAGGAAGGTCTGTAACTCATTAAGCAGTTCCCGGAGGAGTCTATAACTCAGTAAGTGAGCTCCTTGAGATCAGGGACTGTTTTTGTTTTGCTTTGGTTTTTTGTGCCTTGTTTTATATCTTCAACAGTTGGCACATGGTAGGCACTTAATAAATGCTGATCAGTTGCCTGACTGCCTACCTTACAAAAAGATGTGAACTATAGAAGTAGAGGACGTGCTTGTACCAATAACATAGACTTCTTTATCTAAAGCTGGTAGGGTCCTTGAGAGATAGCCAGTCTATCTAAATTTTACAGATAAAGAAACTGAGACTGAGAGAGGTTAAGTGACTTACCAAAGGTCCAGTGCTATTAGGTGGCACTTTTTTCACACACCATGGATCTGTTGAAGCATCTTATAAATCTCAGTCAAACCTAAGTCAATTTGATGTTTTAAAATAAAAGCATAGAATATAGTTCTTTGGGTCTGGATCATAGACTTGTTTCTGAAGAGGCTTCAACTAAATCAGTTTTGGAGAAATAGGTATTATTTTCTTTAAGATCTCCTGAGAATATGCTTTTATCTGAGTAACTCATTTATGGATTAACACCCTTGATATACTAAATGTTTTATAAAATCCAGAAAATAAATGGTAATTTTTACGATGTTTACTGGTGATACACGTTGTTACAGATGAACCCAAGGCAGTTAATACAAAAATGTATTTTTTGATCATTGTTTTCAGAATAGACATCTCAAAGAAAATAATGAAATCACCTTTTCAGATTTTGAACTATAATGTAGACTATTAACCCTTCTTTGTACGGGAGTATGTAGAAAGACAGTTTTAGGGAAAGACTCTAAAGACTTTCTTGGGGTGATCATGCACTGATTTAACATGTGCATAGTCGTAGACATTTAGATCCATGACCTCATTGATATAAATATTGCTTTCATCATTGTAAGTGTAGAGAGTTCCTCTGGGCCTGTCTATTCCATACCACTGTTGTCTGTGCCCTCTCATAAATTTCTCACAGAAGGTACACCCAACGTGCTGGATGCCTTCCTTGTTTGCTTGACATCACATGGAGCACTCAGGCTGTCTGTCTCTCTCATCATATAACAAGCTCCTGTTTTTTCACTCATTTCTTTGGTGACTTCTTTACTCTTCATCTCTTTCATCATTTGTGGTATATTACAGCCTACTCAATT